TAATAAGTGTAAATGTAGATAAGATTCTCTGAGCTAGTCCTTCATTGATCTGCCCGATTTCTCTACCTTGTATCTCTAGCGTTTATCTATTACAGGGCAGCACCAAGAAATCATAGGATTCTAAACAGTGGAACTCATTTTTTTTTTTTAAGTAAAAGTTCCAGAGTTTTCCTTGGGATTCTAAACCCTAAACCTCAAAAGAGACACAGTAGAGCTGCCCAGGTTGTAGCAAGACAAAAAAAAACTGGAGCCCATAGGGTCTCAGAATACAGTTTGAAATCAGCTTATTTTGTTGAAACATTTCCTTTCATTGATGAAGAAAATAAAGCCCCCAAAGCTGATTTGTTAGGGTCCATATAGCTATGGGTTAAAATTATAATCCAGGCCTCCTGACATCCAATCCTAAACCTATTTCTCTACTAGGCTGTACCCCTTCCACACGGGCCAGGCATCCCTTTTTCCTTTGGGTAAATTTAATGACTCAGATAATAGGAAAAGATAAACATTAAAAAAAAAACAAAAAACAAAGGTCTTCTCTACCTACCATCCAGATACAACCACTGTTAAAAATCTGTTATATCTCCTTGTTTTTTTTTCTGTATGTAAATATGCATATGAACACACACACATTTGTGCAACTTCCTATCTGGTTGTTTTTTCTACTTAATATTACATGTAAGCATTTTTCCAAGCTCTTCAATTTCCTTTAAAAATGGAAGTTTTAATGGCTGAATGGGGTTGCTTCACTGAGATCTATCATCTTTTATGCAATTAATCCCTTAGAATTAGATATTTGAGTTGTTTCCAACATTTAATAATGATAAATAAAGCTTCAGTGAGTATCACTGTATACAAATCTTTGTGTACTTCTGTGATTATTTCTCTGTGATAAACGTCTGAGAATAGAAATAATAAGTCAAAACATAAGAACAAGCTTCAATACATGATTGCCCAATTGCCGTCTAGACAGGCAGGATATACTACAAGCTGTTTAATAAGTGCTTATTTAAATTCAATCTGAGCATATTATTTTTTCTATCTTTGCTAATTTGCTTGGAAAAAATTAGTGTCTTTCAAATCATGAATGGTTTTATATTAATCACCAAGTTTAAAAAGCATTTAAGAATTAAGCATATACTTACTATATGATCCAGCAATACTACTCTTAGGTATTTACTCAGGAGAAAGGGAAATATAATGTCTGCAAAGACTTGTGTACACCCATAGTGAAAACAACCTAAATGTTCATCAACTGATAAATGAATAAACATATTGTGGTATATCCATACTATGGATTATTATTCAGTAACAAAAAAAGAATAAAAAATTAATACATGAAAGAACATCATGAACCTCAAAAACATGCTAAGTGAGAGAAGCCAGACACAAAAGACTACATGCTATATGAAATTCTAGAAAACAAAACTATAGTAACAGAAAACAGGCCAGTGGTTGTCTGCGGCCAAGGGCAGGGGAGAGAATCTACTGAAAGAGGCATGACAATACTATTTAGGGTGATAGAACTATATCTTGATTGTGGCAGTGGTTATACAACTGCAAATGATTACAGAAATTCATCGACCTCTTCATTTAAAATGGGTGAATTTTATTGTGTGTAAATTATACCTCAAGCTGGAAAAATCAAAACAAAAGCAAAAATCATTTAAGAAATTCTGGGGGAAAAAAAACTTATTTTCATTTTTGTGTATTTTCTTTAAATTTTTATCTGTCACAGACCTACTAGAGAATGGACTTGAGGACACGGGGAGGGGGAAGGGTAAGGCTGGGACAAAGTGAGAGAGTGGCATGGACATATATACACTACCAAACGTAAAATAGATAGCTAGTGGGAAGCAGCCACATAGCACAGGGAGATCAGCTCAGTGCTTTGTGACCACCTAGAGGGGTGGGATAGGGAAGGTGACCGGGAGGGAGACACAAGAGGGAAGAGATATGGGGACATATGTATATGTATAACTGATTCACTTTGTTATAAAGCAGAAACTAACACACCATTGTAAAGCAATTATACTCCAATAAAGATGTTTAAAAAACAACAACAACAAAATTTTTGTCTGTATTCATAATACTCTATGTAACTATAAGTATAGACTATATGTAAGTTTGTATTTAGACATTTTTATATCACAATTTTACATTTCTACAAAGTTTTCATGATTATCATTTAAAATAGTTATACATAATTGTCCAAAACCCAGAACCATTCTCCTATCGCTAACAGGTAAATTACCAAATTTTAAAGCAAATGATTCCTCCTCAATATTTGGATGCCACCAAGTGGACAAACTGTAATATTACTTAGATTGAGTAGACCTTTTTAGAAATTTAAAAAAATAACAATTTAGTGTTTAAAATTTTAATGTAAAATTAATTTTTAAAACTAAATAAATTTTAGTAATTAAAACAGATGCTTTTATAAGTGTACCAGACCATGATGCTCATCTATCTCTTGTAGTAACTTAACTCTCAAATCTGAATCTCTGGAAATCAGTCAAAGAAAAGAACTTCTGTCAAAATCAGGGCCTTTACAAACTAAAACTACAGGTGTAAATGATAGACATGGGTCTCTCTTAAGCCCCAAACCAAAAACCATTTAGGGACCTACAAATGCAAATAGCCTTTGCTGTAGGCCAAATGACTTCCAACAAAACAATAAGTGCTTCCAGGAGGCACAATGAAACCAGTGATGAAACTGTGGTGAAGATTATCTGGAAAGCAGAGAAAGACAGCAGGAAACTCATTCCCCTTTGGGCAAAGCCTTGCTAACTCTCTTTAGAGTCACCAGTATTTTCTCCTTACAGTTCCTGGCCTTTCCAGTTCAAGCTTTTGCTATTGAAATGAAACAGTAACTGGTTAGAGCCACAAAAAGAAAGATTATTTCAGGGAAGTGTTTGGTCCCTGCCAGGGTGGACAAAAGAAGGACTTTTTCAAAAGAAGCCTTTGAATGACACCTAGCCATTACCTACCACCAACCGAGGGAGATGAACACTCTGCCTATAGCCCAATATTCCTCCCAATTATTTTTTCTGATGCACTTTAACCCTCTCCATCTTGCTGCCAACCTCCATAAATCAAAAAGAAACATTTTTTTAAAAAAAGAAATCTAGGAATGCCACTCCAAAGAACTCTTAAAGGAATGTCATGAGTCCATAAAGTGAGAAACCAGTGAGAGAGAGAAAACGTAGCTCACTGAGACAGAACCATGGCTTCATTGTGGTAAATTATAGAGCTTGTCTTCTAATGGCTGAAATGTTTGTTTGCTTGGTTTTTCTTAAATTTTAGTTATGTTTCTTAATAGAAGATACACTCATTCAATAAAAATTCAAAAGGTACAGAAGAATAAAAAGGGACGTCTACTTTTAACTGCTTCTGCTGGCTGGTCAGCCCCATTCCCAGAGGCAACCATCAATCCTCTCTTGTGAATAGTTACAGAAGTATCCTGTACAGAGACAGTTACATATATACACTCTCCCTATATAAACATTCAATCCCATTCCCCCTTTCTTGTTACACAAATGTTGCACCACTGTACACAATGATGCGTTTTTCATTTAACCATACAATACATCATGGCATTCATACCATGTCAATACATAGAGTTTCTCATTCATTTTAAAACTGTATTTGCAAATGAAGCAACGGACAAAGGACTAATCTCCAAAATAGGTCATGGAGCTCAATATCAAAAAAACGACCCGATTAAAAAATGCGCAGAAGACCTAAATAGAGATTTCACTAAAGAAGACATGCAGGGCTTCCCTGGTGGTGCAGTGGTTGAGAGTCCGCCTGCCGATGCAGGGGACGCGGGTTCGTGCCCCGGTCTGGGAAGATCCCACATGCCACGGAGCAGCTGGGCCTGTGAGCCATGGCCGCTGAGCCTGCTCGTCCGGAGCCTGTGCTCCGCAACGGGAGAGGCCACAGCAGTGAGGGGCCCGTGTACCACAAAAAAAAAAAGAAGAAGACATGCAGATGGCCAAGAGGCACATGAAAAGATGCTCAACATCACTGATTATTAGAGAAATGCAAATCAAAACTACAATGAGGTATCACCTCACACCAGTCAGAATGGCCATCATCAAAAAATCTACAAACAATAAATGCTGGAGAGGGTGTAGAGAAAAGGGAACCCTTTTGCACTGTTGGTGGGAATGTAAATTGATACAGCCACTGTATCAACCTCCAGTATGGAGGTTCCTTAAACAACTGAAAATAGAACTACCATATGACCCAGCAATCCCACTCCTGGACATATACCCTGAGAAAACCATAATTCAAAAGGACACATGTTACCAAATGTTCATTGCAGCACTATTTACAATAGCCAGGATATGGAAACAACCTAAATGTCCAACGACAGATGAATGGATAAAGAAGATGTTGTACACGTACACAATGGAATATTACTCAGCCATAAAAAGGAACGAAACTGGGTCATTTGTAGAGATGTGGAGTCTTGTCATACAGAGTGAAGTAAGCCAGAAAGAGAAAAACAAATATTGTATACTAACGCATGTATGTGGAATCTAGAAAAATGGTACAGATGAACCTATTTGCAGGGAAGGAATAGAGACGTAGATGTAGAGAATGGACATGTGGACACAGAGAGAGAAGGAGAGGGTGGGACGTATTGGGAGATTAGGGTTGATATATACACTACCATGCATAAAATAGATAGCTAGTGGGAACATGCTATAAAGCACAGGAAGCTCAGCTAGGTGCTCTGTGACGACCTAGATGGGTGGGGTGGTGGGGGGCAGGGAGGGAGGTTCAAGAGGGAGGAGATATAGGTATACATATAGCTGATTCACTTCATTGAACAGCAGAAACTAACACAACATTGTAAAGTAATTATACTCCAATTAAAAAAAACTGTATCATATTCTATTTGGATGTACCATAAAATATTTAAGGAGTTCCTTATTAAGATGGACATTTAACTTGTTTCCAATTTGTGCTAGTTTTATTATTATCTTCTTTACCTGAAACTCTCTGGGCAAATTTGATTGCTTCTTCAACCGGATCCGAGTTCACAATTTTATCTAGAATACCCAGCTTAAGAGCTTCATTTGCCGAAATATGTCTTCCTAAAAGAAAACAAAATAAAACAAATCAAAGAACAATGTAATAGTAAACCAAAAACATCACTCTCTCTAGTAGGAAAATTCACTTGTCCTGGGTATAAACATCTGTTACTAAATAAACAAGCACCACGCTGACTGTTACAGTGGAAAGATTACTGCAGAGGTAATCAGAAAATTTGGATTCAAGTTCCAGCTCTACCTTGCACTATTTGTGTGAACTGTACTAGGACCACAATTTCTTCGTTGGTAAATGGCAAAAATTATGCTTACCTTGGTAATTCTGAGTATTAAGTGAAAATAATACATTTTCCTTCTATTCTATAAATCTCTATTAGAAGCACTTTATGAACTATAAATCTATATAATAATGAGGATTTATTGTTTGATAATAATAGAGATAAATAAATAACAGAGGTAGTAGCTGCACAGCAATAGCAATACTATCTGTTCTTATACTAGCATACACCATGGGCTGCCATTGATTACGAACTGAGCTCAAACACAAATATAGTTGGATAGACAGGGGAGAAGAATTATTAAGTTGATATCACATAAGTTATAATCAAAATTTCACAGGAAAAGTGGGGTGGACCTCTGCCATTTTTTGGCTACCCAGCATCTCGACCCTCCCTTAGTTTGTGGAATTGCTAATGTGTGAGCTTTGGAGCTAAAAAGGAAGCTAAAAAAGAAACAGAGATGATCAGACAATTGTTCCTTCAGACCTGGCACTACGGTGTGTCCCATGATCCCAAGCTTGGCAAACTGAGTGCTCAACTGAGGGTTTTTAGCTGGAGTGAGTAACACTAAGGAACAGCAACAGCGTAAATCTCACTGCACAGGTGGTGACATCTAGTGTCTGGTGGCGGTGGTGCCAGGAGCATCTACCATCCACTAGTGACACTTGGCAGCCTCTGGTATAGACTGGAAGCTCTAGGAGGTTACAGAAGTTTGATGAGGGTTTGCATTACTCCCATGTTCTCCAGCAGGCATAGATACATAATTTGATCTGCACACTCTGAAGCGGGAGGTTAAGGGATATAAACTTCCCTCACCACAGGGTCAGGAGAGAGACAGCAACACATCGCTTGCTTGTTTACCAGCACCATCTGGGCTTCTGAAGAGCAATCACCAAGTCAGTCTTGCTGGCAACAACTCCATGGTCTTTGCTGCTCTTACAGAGTGTTGGTGGTTGCCATCTCTGAGACAAACCCTCCATTCCCAGTTCTTATTAGTGCTTCGGAGAGCTACCAATGGCTTTTCTTGATCAGATAGACAATTCAATGATTTTGGGCAGGGGTCACTCTGTAACAGCAATATTTGGGCAGTTTTCTGGAAATGTTGAAAACAGGCTTCCAGATCTCCGCCTGGGGTGAGGAGGGCAGTGGGGGGTGGGCAAGTGGCTTCAAGGGTGAAGTCTCCTCTGTACAAAATCACTTGAGTGAGGGGTGAGTGAATCAGACTCTCTAGGTTAAGGGGCCCAAAGGGACACGGAATGGAATATGAAAACCTGGGTACTAAAAGGATCTTTGGGGCAACTGAGCAGGGGAAACATGAGATGTCCACAGGATGAACTGAAAATTCCATTAGCTGTAATGTTTTCTTCTGACCTGGATTTCACAAAAGTTGCAAGGACCACTACTGTTCTTACGGAGTCAATGAGATTTCAGGTACTTTTATTCTGTTTCAAGGACCTGAAGACACAGCTCTGTATATCCAACCCAAATCCTCATGCTGAGATTTAAACTTGTTCTTTCTTGTGCTTTCTTGTTCTTTCTTGTGAGTGTAGATAATAACCACTGTCCAATCTAATAAAAGCCCTCCCTAGATCTACTATAAAGAGACTGGGGCAACTGAAGTTGAGACTTCTGCAAGCCAGGTAATCTCAATTCTTTCCAATTTTCTTTGTGGCTTCTTTTCCAAGCTTTAGAAAAAAATTTCTACATGGAACACTTTCCAGAAGCCATTTTAAAGTCCCCTTAAAATTGTACAGACTACTTAAAAAGATAGGTGTCCAACAAAGATGTTAAAAAATATAATAAAATAAAAAGATAGGTGTATGATTCCAATGTTAGCTTTCTTCTAATTCACTGTGACCTTCTCTATGCAAATCAAAATCTATCATATTCTTACTATTTTTACCTCTTTTCTTCATCATGTTAATAATAGTGATATTTCTATAAGCAGCAGTGCTTTGAAAAAGGTGAATCTTAGTTCACTTTATTTCTTTTTGTCAAAGAAGCCAGATTCCTTCCTGATTTCCTCCAAGATATTCTTGCCTTTCAGGCTTACTACTGAAAGCAGGAACACACAATTCCTCAATATTCCCCCACATGCTTTAATTTCTATAAACCTTAGAATTTACAGACTCATTTCACACTATTATGATTCCCCACCCCCTCTCTCTCTCTCTCTCTATATATATATATATATTTTTTTTTTTTTTTTTTTGCGGTACGCGGGCCTCTCACTGTTGTGGCCTCTCCCGTTGCGGAGCACAGGCTCCAGATGCGCAGGCTCAGCGGCCATGGCTCACAGGCCCAGCCTATCCGTGGCATGTGGGATCCTCCCGGACCGGGGCACGAACCCGCGTCCCCTGCATCGGCAGGCGGACTCTCAACCACTGCACCACCAGGGAAGCCCTCCCCCTATATTTTATGCTGCTTTTCTTCCTTTCTATTTGGTCTTTTGCAGAATTAACCCTCTCATGTGCTTTGAATTTCTGTAGTATGTTGGGTTGATTGTAAGCATCCTCTTATGAATTCTGCATTAGGTACTTAAAATAGTTCGCATTCTTAAAAGTATACTTATCATACCACTGTAAATTAAAGCAATTTCTAATCTAATTTACTGAAGAGAAGAAATTTAGTTTTTAACTCCCTTTTCATGCTCTAAAGAATTTATAACATCTCCCCATTTAAAGGGGGAAAAAGCCATTTTAGACTTTAGTCTAATTATATATTAGTAACTGTATAAATTTTACACTAGTAATTATATATTAGTAATAACATAGACTCATTATTTTCTAATTTGGACCATGTGTGCACAGTTTTGTATTGTGGTTTCTGTGTCAAAACATAAGTGTATTGGGGCTTCCCTGGTGGTGCAGTGGATAAGAATCCGCCTGCCAATTCAGGGGACAAGGGTTCGAGCCCTGGTCCGGGAAGATCCCACATGCCACAGAGGAACTAAGCCCCTGCGCCACAACTATTGAGCCTGTGCTCTAGAGCCCGAGAGCCACTACTACTGAGCCCGTGAGCCACAACTACTGAGCATGCGTGCCTAGAGCCTGTGCTCTGCAACAACAGAAGCCACCACAATGAGAAACCCGCACACCACAACTAAGGGTAGCTCCCGCTCGCTGCAACTAGAGAAAATCCCACACACAGCAACGAAGACCCAATGCAGCCAAAAATAAATAAAATAAAATAAATAAATTTATTTTTTTAAAAAGTGTATTGATTAGCAGTTCTCAAGTTTTTTAGTCTTGGGACCCCTTTGCACTCTTAAAAATTATGGAATACGCCAAAGAGCTTTTTTTTATATGGGTTATTTCTATTAATATTTACTATATTAGAAATTATAACTGAGAACTTTAAAAATGTATCTTTATTAAATCACTTTAAAATAACCATGATAAACCTATTACATATTAACATAAATAAATTTTTATGCAAAATAACTCTATTTTCAAAATTTTAAAAATTTAGTGAGAAGAGTGTTGTTTTATATTTTTGCAAATTTCTTTAATGTCTGGCTTAATAGAAGACAGTTGGATTCTCATTTCTGCTTCTGCATTCAATCTGTTTTGATACCACATGGCATACAATAACCTCTGGAAAATTCCACTGTATATTTGTGAGCGAATGAGAGTGGAAAAGGCAAGCAATATCTTATTATTATGAAAATAGTTCTGACTCCATGGACCCCACCCCCACCCCCTGCCCCCCCATACACAATAGTCTTAGGTACACCTAGGAGTTCCTGGGCCGCACTTTAAGAACTCCTGATTTAGACCACATTTAAGACTGTATAGCATCTTAGTATACAAATGTTCCATACGTTGAGAATTTATTTGTGGCTGGAGTGATTTTAGCTGTTTCAAGAGTAACCTTTTGTTGTGTTTTGTTTTTATCCTTTGGAAGCTTGCAGGAGTCTATTTCGTGGAAATTTAAAATCTTTATCAAAATACAAGGCATTGACATCTCATCAGTTTTTCCAGGAAAATGAGGTGCTTACTAAAGTACAATCTCTGATTCCTTTATGTATCTGAAGAGATTCTTCTATTTTTTCCTATGGTTATTGCTTCTCCCCTTTTCGCTTTGTGCTCTGGGAGCTTTTATTATTCATAGCAGAGGCCTCTATTATAGACCTCTCATGTCTGCTGCCTTCATTTACATTTTCTGTATTTTTTTAGAAATTCTTCTGAATTCTATAAACGTGTCTCTATCCTCTATGTTGCTGATTCAGTAGTCTGTTCTAGTGCATCTTTTTTTTTTATTGCTTCAAAGTTATTTTGGCTAATGTTTTGATTTTAAACAGGGTGTTCTTGTTTAATAAATAAAATATTTTCTTTTCTAATTTAGAATATTGTGAGTTTTCTAAGATTTTTTGTTGCCTTTAATCTGTTTCAACAGACTCACATTTATGTTTCATTTTTCTAATGACACAGAATATTTTCATAGCTTGTTTTTTTTTTTGGTCTGTTTTATTTGTCTTAGTCATGAAATAATATTTGCTGATATTTATTATTGCTGACTGGGAGCCCCGGGTATTAAAACTCACCCTTAACATCTTGTTCGAGTATAGAGAAAACCCACATGGACCTAACTAAATCTGAAAGACTGGCAGGATAAAGATGCCATTCGCAGCTTCTTCCCCAGTACCCTGGGTGGCAAGAGGTACCTCATCAAAGACTAGAGTCTGAGGGCATCCCTGTCCTGGGAAAGATCATAAAGTAACTATGGGGCTGAGACAAGGCTCTATGAGAATAGAGAAGAGGCTTTCTATGCTGTTCAGTGAAAAAGAAAGACGGGACCTAGAAAATAACAGCAGAAGCAACATCAGGGCACTGTAGTTTTCATCATTTGATTGGACAGAGAACGTCAGGGAATGAACTGCATTGTGCCCAAGCATGTGTTTTGTGGTTACTGCTAAAGATTCGGTTGTTTTCAGGTGGCATTTTAAGGGAATTGTGGAGAAGCGTGGTTGTTGTAATTGTTCCACTTTCCAGAATTATCTCTATTATGGTTTTCAGAAGAGCAGAAAAGGTTAGCTATTTATTAATTTAATCTAAATTTATTTACTTATTAATTTCCTATGGGGGTAGTGCCTATAGAGCTGGTATTTTTCTTCATTAACATCAGTAGGGAATCTTCAACTTTCAGTAACAATTTTTTAGCATCCCTTCTTAGGAAAAAAAATGTTTTCCAGAAGCAAGAGTCTTAATATCATCATTATTAATGGCTACTGTATTAGTTTCCTATACAGATTACCACAAACATTGCATCTTAAAACAGCACACATTTATTATCTTAGTTTAGGAATCAGAAATCTAAAATAGGTCAGCAGAATTGTGCTCCTTCTGGAGGCTCTGAGAGAGAATCTGTTCCTGGGCTTTTCTAGCCTCTAGAGGCTGCCTACATTTCTTCTTCTCTTCCTCCATCTTCAAAGCCAGCTGTGTATCATCTTCTCTCCCTCCTGCCTTCCTCTTCTAAGGACGCTTGTGATAAATTGTGCCTACCTAGACAATCTAGAATGATCTCCCATCTTGAGATCCTTAATTTAATCACACCTGCAAGGTCCCTTTCGAATGTGAGGTAATATATTCACAGGTTCTAGGTATTAGGACGTGGACATCTTGGAGAGAGGCATTATTATGCCTACCACAGTTACCATTTATAAAATGTCTCCTCTGTGGCAGGTACTATACCAGAAGCAAGTCATGTAATTTCATTATTCCTTACACAACTATGTGGTTGTTTTACTGATGAGAAAATGAAGACTGAGAGAAGTTCAGACAATCTCCCTTCTAAATTTCAGGCCAGTCTATCCAATTGTCTACCTGACACCTCAAGTTGGATGTCAAACCTTAACATGTCCAAAACTAAGCTCTTGTGATTCCTCCCTACAACCTGCTCTACCAGCAGAATTCCCCTTTTCTCAGTAATGGCGCCATCCTTCCAGCTGCTGAGGCCATTAGAATCATCATTTTCTCTCCCCTTTCCCTCACCTCTCACATTTGGTCTGTCACAAAATCCTGTTGGCTCAAAATATATGCAGAATTTGACCACGTCTCACCATTTACATTGTTACCACTCAGGTCTAACCTCCCATCATGGCTCCCTTGGATTATTAAAGCAGGCTTCTAATCAGTCTTCCTATTTCTGGCCTTACCTCCAATTAATATATTTTCAGTAGCCAGGGTGATCTTTTAAAAAACATAAGTGACAGCATGTTTGTTAGTTTTCTGCTCAAAACACTCTAATGCCTTTCTACCTCTTCAGAAGAAAATCCAAAGTTCTCTCTATAATCTTCAAGTCCCTACCTGATGTGACTTCACCCCCTACTACTCTTCCCCTTACTCACCTTACTCTAGCTTCATTGACCTTCTTGCTGTTCTTTGAAATTTCCAAGTATGCCCCTACCTCAGGGCTTGGTATTTGCTATTGTCTCTGTGTGGAATTTCTTCCTCCAGATATTGGCATAACAAGCTTCCTCCATCCTTCAGGTATTCACTCACATTCATTTTGTAGGAAAGCCTTTCCCAACTATCCTACCTAAAATATTACCCAACCCCCAGCCCTATCATTTTACATTTCCCCTTTCTGCTTTATGTTTTCTCCTTAGCACTGATCTCCATCTAACCTACCATGTATACTACTTACGTAATAGGTAGGCATGGAGTTTAAGAAGAGTATACAGTGTGGTAGCTGGTCTCCAAAGTGACCTGCCATGTGTTTGACCTCTAAGTATTCAAGTTCCCCTCCCAAGTTGGATAGGGAAGACTTGTATAATCAATAGAATAGTTCAGAAAAGATGGCACGTGACTCCAAAGCTAGGTCATAAAAGACATTGCAGTCTTTGCCTTGCTCTCTCTTGGATCACTCACTCTAGAGGAAGCCAGCTTCCATGCTGTGAGGATATGCAGGTAGCTCTAGAGAGAGGTCCATGTGGAGAGGAAATGAAGCCTCCTGCCAACAGTCAGCAGCAGCCATCCATGTGAGTGCGCCATCTTGGAAGTAGATCTTGGAAGTAGATCCTCCAGCCCCAGTCAAGTTTTCAGATGACTATGACCCCAGTCAGTATCTTTACTGCAACTTCATGAGAAACCTTGAGCTAGAACCCAACTAAGCTGTTCCCAAATTCCTGACCCACAGAAACAAGGGAAGAAAAACACTGCCAATCAAACCACAACTCACAATGAATGTAAGAGGTGTCCTGATTTCAAAGATGTGGAAAACACTGTGCATTTTTGAATTGATAATTATTGTTATTGTTGTTGTTTTCTGTATATAATATCCATAAGGGCAGGAGTTTTTGTAGGTTTGATTTACCTCTATAGTCCCACTGCCTACAACAGGGCCCAGCACATGAGAAAAAATTAAACAGCTGCTGCATGAGTGAATAAAAATTAATTTGTACAAGGCATATTGTTTATATGTGGTACAGCTGGGATTCAAGCTCAGGTCTTTGATTCTAAAGATTGTGCTCTTTTTATTGCCCATTCTTTGGGATATAGTCTATTACCAAGATCCTCATCTTATTTTTACTCAATCCTCCTCTTTCACTAAAGTCAGATATGGGAATAATAACATATAACTAACACTTCTTACCATGTCTAGGACTGTTCTAAGCACATTGTATGCATTAAGGTGTCTAATCTTCACCACACCACCATATGGTAGGTGCTATTGTCATAAACATTTATGAGGAAACTAAGGCACAAAGAGGTAAAGTGTCTGGCCCAAGGCCTCATTAGTTCCACCTGTTTGGAGTAAATAGTTATGTATGTTCTTTCATCCAACCTCACTTCGACTGGCAATATCTTTCTATGTCTTATCATATTTGGTAAATTCAGGGTCTCTAGATGATTTCTAGTGTTGCATTGTTCACATTCCCTATTGAAAGAGAAAACTTTTATTTGAAGCTAACACCTTATCACCTGGGAAATGAAAAATGCAGTCATTTCCAAACTAAAATTTGAAATCTTTCCTTGGAAATTCTGGTTTTAATTCTTGTTTATATTACAATTTCTAAATTAGATCTGAATATAATGCGCCCTATGTGAAACCAGTGTCTATGAGTAGACACTTAAATGTGATTAGGGCTCTGTATATACTTTCATTTAGAAAGCACTCACATTTGCTCTTCATGGTAACTTTTGAGAAGCTCTCAGAAAAGGCATTCTTTACATTTAAAGATGAGAAAATTGACATCAAAGAAGTTAAAGTATCCTCTTAAAATTACATGGGTAGGGAATGGTCAAGCCAGAATGTTTCTAAATCCTAGTCCAGTTCCTCACATTGAACTAGACAGACATTGGCAGGGTTAGTACTGACCTGAGGTAATTAAGTCAAGTGCAGCAGGAACTCCAATAAGTCTGGGGAGAAGCTGGGTTCCTCTTGCACCAGGAAGGATTCCTAGTGTGACCTCTGGGAAGCCAACTTGAGCCTATCAAAGATTGAAGGCATAAAGGTCATTAGAATGAGATGATATATTCAGAGTCAAGGCAAGCATTCCCCTGGGTTTCTCACACCCTCAAAAACATTGCTGCATAGAATTCAGTGAGAGTTTCTACAGAGAAAATTAGTGCACACCCTCTCCTCTAATTAATAGCATAAATAGAGCTGTGCCATCCCTAAGTCTTCATGTTGAAACACATCCCCAACTTCTTACACAATTCTTCTCTGACTCTATTATTCACAGAATGGGAAAAAATAGTTGCTAATAACATATGTGGAATATATAAAGAACTTTTATAACTCAATAATAAAAAGACAAATGATCCAATTCAAATGGGCAAAGCATCTGAATAGACATTACTCCAAAAAGATACAAATGGCCAATAAGCACATGAAAAGGTGCTCAGTATCATTAGCCATCAGGGAAATGCAAATCAAAACTACAAGATACCACTTCATACCCACTATGATGGCTATAATAAAAAAGACATACAATAACAAGTTTTAGAGAGTATGTGGAGCATACAAAACCCTCATACATTGCTGGTGGGACCGTAAAATGATGCAGTCACTTTGGAAAACAATTTGGCAGTTTCTCAAAGGTTAACCATAGAGTTACCATACGACCCAGCAATTCCACTCCTCTATATATACTCAAAAGAAATGAAAACATGCCCACAAAAAACACTTGTGCAAAAATTTTCATAGCATCATTGTTCATAAATCCAAGAAAGAAGAAACAATCCAAATGTCCATCAAGTAATGAATGAATAAGGAAAATGTGGTATATCCATAAAAAGAAATATTCAGCCATGGAAAGGAATAAAATACTAATGACATGTTACAACACAGGTGAACCTTGAAAACAATGCTAAGTGGAAAAAACCATACACAAAAGACAACAAATTGTATGTTTTCATTTACATGAAGTGTCTAGAATAGGTAAATCCATACAGACAGAAAGTAGATTAGTAATTGCTAGGACTGGGGGAGAGGGAAATGATGGTTTACTCCTAAAAGGTGTGAAGTTTCTTTTGAGGGTGATGAAATATCCTAAAATCAACTGTGGTAATGATTGTATAACTCTGTGAATATACTAATATACCGCTGGACTGTACACTTTAAATGAGTGAATTATATGGTATATGAATTATATCTCAATGAAGCTATTATAAAAAGAGAAAGAAAGAAAGAAAGAAAGAAAGAAAGAAAGAAAGAAAGAAAGAAAGAAAGAAAGAAAGAAAGAAAGAAAGAAAGAAAGAAGGAAGGAAAGGGAGGAACAAAGGAAGCAAGGAAGAAAGGAAGTGAGGAAGAAAGGAAGAAAGTCAGGCAGCAACCTCAGTCCAGATGAAAGGGTGAGATTGAGACCTTAATCACATGTCTCTCTTGGCCTTAAAAGTGGCCAAAGTTCTGTTAGTCATTTTCCAGGTATAAGGATGGGAGGAGGAGGGTACTTAAATACAGACTGCCATTTGCCCAAATTGTGATGCCAACAGCTCCAAAATACCTGGAATGTTTGAGCCTCTCTCACATGAGGCTTTCCTAGCAGTTGATCACCATTTTTCCCACCAGTGGTCATCCCTATCCCCTGACTTACTATTGCTTATAACTTAGATCTGCACTCAGTGTGCAGAAGGTCATGGTATTAGGAACACAGAAAAAGGAACACTTAGGATATGTGTCTTTATTTATAAGTTTTATAAAAAATTAAAACAACATAGGGAAACGGTTAAATAAATTATGATAAATCTATAAGATGAAAAATTATGCAACCATTTAAAATGATATTTTTAAGGAATATTTCCAATAAGATTGACAGCAAATTTCTCATCAGAAACCATGGAGAGGGCTTCCCTTGTGGCACAGTGGTTAAGAATCCACCTGTCAATGCAGGGGACTTGGGTTCGAGCCCTGGTCTGGGAAGATCCCACATGCCACGGAGCAACAAAGCCCATGTGCCATAACTACTGAGTCTGCACTCTAGATCCCGCTAGCCACGACTACTGAGCCCACATGCCACAGCTACTGAACCCCATGCACCTAGAGCCCCTGATCTGCAACAAGAGAAGCCACCACAATAAGAAGCCTGCGCACCACAAGGAAGAGTAGACCCCACTCACCGCAACTAGATGAAGCCCACACGCAGCAACAAAGACCCAACACAGCCAAAAATAAATTAATTAAAAATAAAAAAAAAGATACCAGGGAGACCAGTGCCAGTGGGATGACACGTTCAAAGTACTGAAAGAAAAGTACTGTCAACCAAGAATTCTACATCCAGCAAAACTAGTCTTTAAAAATGAAGGCAAATTGGGACTTCCCTGGTGGTGCAGTTGTTAAGAATCTGCCTGCCAATGCAGGGGACACAGGTTTGAGCCCTGGTCCGGGAAGATTCCCACATGCCGTGGAGCAATTAAGCCCGTGCACCACAACTACTGAGCCTACACTCTAGAGCCCGTGAGCCACAACTACTGACACCCGCGAGCCTAGAGTCCATGCTCCACAACAAGAGAAGCCACCACAATGAGAAGCCTGTGCACCACAGTGAAGAGTAGCCCCCGCTCACTGCAACTAGAGAAAGCCCACATTGCAGCAATGAAGACCCAACACAGCCCAAAATTAAAAAATAAATAAAAATTTATTTTAAAAAATGAAGGCAAATTAAGACATTTTCAGATAAATAAAAATTGAATTTGTTGCTAGCAGATCTGCCCTACAAGAAATCCTTCAGGATGAAATGAAAAGACACTAGACAGTAACTCAAATCCACATGAAGGAATAAAGAACACTGTTAAAGGGTAACTACACAGGTAAATATAAAAGACAGTATTAATGTAATTTTTTGTTTGCAATTCCTCTTTTTCCTTACCTGATTTAAAAGACCACTACATTAAGCAATAATTATATATTTATGTTGATGGGCATGCAATGTATAATGATATACTTTGTGACAATAACAGCATAAAGGTGGTGTGTAACAGAACTATATGGGAGCCAATTTTTTACATACTATTGAAATTAAGTTGGTATTAATCTGAACTAGCTTATCAGAAATTAAGATGTTAATCCCCAGGGCAACCACCACTAAGAAAATAACTCAAAAATATACAGTGAAAGAAACAATAAGAGAATTAAAAGCGTACTAGAACTTATCCATTTAATATAAACAAAAGCATTAATGGAGGAACTGAGGAATGAAAAAATATAAGACGTAGAAAACAAATAGCAAAATGGCAAAAGTCCTTCCTTATCAGTAATTATGTTAAATGTAAATGGTAGAGATTGGTAAAATGGATAAAGAATATTTAATAATAATTTAGATACAGCATTAGTATAAAAATAGACTACAAGTGAAATACAATAAAATTCCAAATGTATTTGTTTTTAAAAAAAAAGATTGCGAAGAAAAAAAATTACACAGGAAAAAGACAAGGAAGAAAAAAAAAATGTCAATAGTGGTTATTTCTGAACTGTGAGTTTATGGTGACTTCAGTTTTACATCTTTGTACTTTCCTGTATTTTATAGTCTATTACAATGATGAATATTATCTTTATTATTAGAAAAATGTATTACTTATAAAAATATTACTATTATAAGACTGGTATCACAAACCTCAATCTACATGTCTAATAACCCAAATTAAATCTATTTCCAGAAATACATGGATTTACTAGTTGTGCACAGTTTCCAATAGGAACTTGTCTTCTTAAGTACTAAAAATTATGAGACCACAAAACTGAAATGTTTGAGATAGGAAACAAAAATTTAAATAAGTATGTACACTCAGGGGTGATAGTCAAAATATTAATACCTCATACTGCATGAGCATGGCTCAGTGAAATCTGATGTGGGCCATAGTACTAGAGCAAGGTCCTGGGTGTCCTGTACAGGAGTTCCCCTTTAACTAGTGGGTCATGGGAAGGTCCAAAGGCTAGGGTTAGGGGAAGTGATGGGACAGTGACAGGCTCAGGGTAGTAACTCTTTATCAACTAGAATGGACATATTTCAACATTTCAACAAAGAGTAACACTGTACTTGTATGTAACAGCTGAACACCAGTGCTAGAAAAACCTAAGAGTTGTGAACCAGTAAGCTAACCATTCAAAATGATCACCTCTGATGCTTATGACTACATTTAGAGCTTGCTCTAAAGAAAAGCTCCCTACATCAAATCCCATATGGATCCCCTCTGTTACCTCTGCATGGGCAATCCTATAGTGACAGCCCAGGGCCAGCTCCAGTCCCCCTCCTAAAGCCACCCTTTGGATAGCTGCCACCACAGGCTTCTTGTTTCTCTGTACTTCATCTACTACACTTCCCAATGTCAAGTCAAAGGTCTTATCAGCACTGAAGCCACGGATATCAGCACCTAAGAACACAAAGACAAGGAAAAAAGAGAGTTGAAGAAGACTTGGGCTTTGCTATAGAACAATAAGTTACCAGATTACACTTAAGGAATCTCAGACCTCTTTGGACCCATGAAACTCTTTATCCTTTGGTTGCAGACACACTAAAGGAACAAGTAGCCTGGAAAATGTAGAAAGATATGAGAGAAAATCCTCAAATCTTTATCAGAAGTCCTGTAATCTAAAATCTGTCTTTCCGTATGATAGTAGTAACTCTACCTTTAGAAAAATTTGAAAGCTCAGAAAAGGGAAGCAAAGATTCTAAGATTGAGTCAGCCATTCCCATTTTTTGCATGATACTCTTCACCAACTCTATTCACAGCAATTTAGACCCGTATCTTTGTTAAGAGCATCAGTCATTACAATATAAAACCTCAGGGTAAAATGAAGACATATTTGTGAGTTATATATTAATCAATCAGCTTAGAATTACATTTCTGTGATAGACTTTTTTGTGATCAATAAAAGTAACAACATTTACTGCTTTTCCTTATTATAAAAATAATATGTATTATAGAAATTTTGAAAAATACACAAAATTATACAGGACAAAAATATTACTCCAAATATCACCACACAGAGATAACAATGTAATATTTTGGTGAATTTTTAGTTTTTTCCCAATGCATTACATAAATTGCTTTGTGACCTTGAGTAAGTTATTTAACCATTTTGTTTCAATACCTATATTAAATAACTGATGTGACAATTAAATGAATGTTTACTATAATATATATTTTTAACAATATTGAGAACACTCTGTAAAGTCATTTTTTATATTTTCCTTTTTTCACATAACATTATACATAGTAGTGAGCTTTTCCCCTATAGCATTATATGTTCTTTGAAAATATTAAGCCTGGTACAAGTTAAAAAGTTAAATTAATTATTTCATGTTCAGCCTTTCTTTTTTTTTTTTTTTTTTTTTGCTACCTGCTCCTCATCTAGCATCCATCCAGGGATTATGCTTTTTTTCTCACCAATCCATCATATTTCACACTCTACTGTTATTATTTATTTTTATTTTTTTAGATTCCTTTTGGTTCTAGAGAAACAAGGTGAACTTCAGTCTGAATGCCATGTCTATTATTCCTGTAACTTTAGGTTAAACTAATTTTTCAAGTAACAGAAGCAATTAACATTTGTTGGATAAATACTATACATAAGGCACTGGGCTAAGTAGTTTCATATATTGTCTCATTTAATTTTCTTAACACCTAAGTTAAATAGTCTATTAACATTTTACAGGTTTAAGTTTAAGGCTTTGAGATGTTAAGTGCCTAGTTCAGACATATGATTCTGTAACTGGTTGAATAAGGATTTCAGCTCATGCAGTTTGACTATACAGTTCACATTCTTAAATGTTATACTACATTCTTCTACTTGCAGCAAAAGGTTAGTATGATCATCCCAATTTTATAGAAACCAAGGCACAGACAAGAGTATAGTGATTTCACTTTTTAACTGTTTATCTCTGGCACATAGAAATGCAATTAATTTTTGGATCCTGATTTTACATCCAGCAAAATTCCTAAATTCTATTATTAATTCTAATAATTTTCTGATAGATTTAGTTTTTACAAACACTCATTTCTTCTGAATAATGATGGTTCTGTTTCTTCCTTTCCAATCCTTATACCTTTTATTTCTTTTTCTAGGCTGGCCAGGGCCTAGAATATAATGTCAAATACAAATGGTGATAGCAGCCAGCCTTGTCTTATTTCTTTCTGAAAAGGAAAGCATTCAATTTACCATTTTGTTTGATGTTTGCTGTAGGTTTTTAAAAATAGATACATTTTGCCTGATGAAGACATTTTCTTTCTATATTTAGTTTACTAAGAATTTTATTCTTTAATGCATGCTAAACGTTACCAAGTGTTTTTTTCTGAATCTCTTGAAATAATCACATGATTTTCCTCCTTTAATCTTTTAATAGGATGAATTACATTGATTTCTCATGTTTAATGAAACTGATATTTCTGGGATGAAAGTGATATATCATGCTTTTTATATATCGTTAGATTCAGTTTTATTATATACTGTTTCAGAGTTTTATATCTAGGTTTACAAATAAAATTGGCCTTTAATTTTGCTTTTTCATACTGTCTTGACATGTTTTGTTATCAAGGTTATGCTAGCCTCACAAAATGAGTTGGGAAGTGTACTGGATAGAACGGTGTCCACCCAGAACCTGTGAATGTCATCTTATTTGGAAATAGGGTCTTTGCAGATAGAATCAGGTAAAGAAGAGGTCATACTGGATCAGTGTGGGTCTATATAAGATCAGGGAAATTTGGACACAGAGGATAAAGCCACAGGAAGACAGAGGCAGAGATAGGGATAATGCAGCAACAAGCCAAGGATTGCCAAGGATTGCCAGCAACCACAGAAGCTAGAAGAGGCAAGGAAGGCTTCTTCCCTAGAGGCTTTGGAGAAAGAATGGCCTTGCAGATATCTTGATTTTGAACTTTTAGCCTCTGGAACTCTGAGAGGATAAACTTCTATTGTTTTAAGCCACCCAGTCTGTGCTCACTTGTTATGGCAGCCCCAGGAAACTAATATAGAAAGTGTTCCCTCTTATTTTTATTCTCTGAAATGTTTGTGTAAAATTAGAATGATATTTTCCTTGACTTTTCAGTTAGAGGTTACCAATGAAGTCATCTGGGACTTGAATTTACTTTGTGAGATTTCTGATTACTGACTCAATTTCTTTAATGGTTTTCTGTTTCTTCTTGCATCAATTTTGTAAGCTCTGTTTTTCTACTTGTTCATATTATCATTTTTAATGGCTAGAGCATCTTCAGTGATATCCCTTTTGTCATTCTTTATATGTATTGTTTGTATTGTCTCTTTTTTTTCTTGATAAGCCTCTCTGAAGCTTTATCAATTTTATTAGTATTTTCAAAGAACTTTTGATATTATTGTTCTCTTGATTCACATTCGTATTCTATTTTAGTAATTTCCCCTCTATCATTTCCTTCCTTCTACTTCATTTGGATCTATTTTACTGTTTGTTTTGTCAGTTCCTTAATATAAATACCACAATATGTTTCAGTGTTTTTTCTTTTCTGATATATACCTTTAAGGCCATACATTTCCTGCTAAGCTTTGCTTTAACTGTATCCCTCAAGTTTTTTTTTTTGTTTTGTTTTTTGATTTTTGGGTTTTTTTTTGTTATTTATTTATTTATTTATTTATTTATTTATTTATTTATTTATTTATTTATTTTTGCGGTGTGCGGGCCTCTCACTGTTGTGGCCCCTCCCGTTGCGGAGCACAGGCTCCAGACGTGCAGGCTCAGCGGCCATGGCTCACGGGCCCAGCCACTCCGCGGCATGTGGGATCCTCCCGAACCGGGGCACGAACCCGCGTCCCCTGCATCGGCAGGCAGACCCTCAACCACTGCGCCACCAGGGAAGCCCTCCCTCAAGTTTTATATATTGTTTTTATTATCATTCAGTTAAAAATATTTTCTAAATTACATTATGATTTCTGCTTTGACTCAAAGGTTATTAAAAAATGAATTTATTTTCCAAACACATGAGAATCTCTAGTTATATTTTTGTTATTGATTTCTAGCTTGATTGCACTGTTGTCAGAGATATTCTAAATGAAATTTATTGAGATAAGCTTTCACAGTCCAGTAGCTGATCAACTTTTGTAAATGTTGCAGATTGGAGAATACATATTTTCCGATTGCTGGGCACATTGTTCTATCTAAGTCCATTAAGTCAAGTCTGACAATCCCTAATGCTTTTCCAGAACAATTATTTTTGCTGCCTCTGAACTCTAACTACGTTCTCTCCTACCTCCTTTTTTTTTTTTTTGCAGTACGCGGGCCTCTTTCACTGTTGTGGCCTCTCCCGTTGCGGAGTACAGGCTCCGGACGCGCAGGCCCAGCGGCCATGGCCCACGGGCCCAGCCGCTCCGCGGCACACGGGATCCTCCCGGACCGGGGCACGAACCCGCGTCCCCCTCATCGGCAGGCAGACTCTCAACCACTGCGCCACCAGGGAAGCCCTCCTACCTCCTTTTTTACAAAGAAATATCAGTTCTGATTTTTCATAACTCTGATCCCTCACTCCATACCTCAAAGTCACCATCTTGGGCTCCCAACCTTAAGTTTTCAAATAGTTGAGTAAGCTATTTAATAGCTGGTTAATGTTTGGCCCACTATTTAACTTCTCTTAGGCTTAGCCTTCTCATCTGTAAATGGAAACTGTAGGATTTACTGAGGATTAAAATATAAAGTATGTAAAAATATTACTATTTTCATTGTTAATAAGTAAATAAGCTACTCAGTACTGGCACATAGCAGGTAAGCTAAATGGTAATTATTATAATGATTAATGTGTTTATATTTATTCATTGTTATGATTTCAACATCTATTTCTTCTCAGGTTACCACGACATACATTAAATTCCTCTGGCAAAAAAAAAAAAAAAAGAAGAAGAAGAAGAAGAAAAATGAAAAAAATTCCTCTGGCTACAGTAAGAATACATGGGCCTTCATATCCATGGAACTTTTGTCAAAGGGTATAATTTGGGAAAAGAAGAAAAGGTGCCACAAATACCAGTGAATAAATCACCATTTCAGATGCTTTTGCCGTATTTTGTCACTATTTTGCATCTTCACAGGATAACCCAATAAAGAGTGCATGGTCACTGAGATGGGTGACTATCAGAAGAAAAATGAAGTCCATTGCAGGACTCTGTGTAAAATAAAAAATAACATTTATCGAACATGTTCTGCATGCAAGCACTGCTCTAGGGCTTTCAGATGTGTTATCTCATTTACTCTCACAAAAACCTGTTAAGATATAAATATTATGGTATCTATTTTATAAATAGAGAAATTGAGTTTCAGGAGATTTAAGGGACTTGCCCAAGCTCACATAGGATGGTGACACATGCAGAGCAGATATGTACCAGCAGATGTATACTAGCAGCTATAATAGCCATCAAGCCTGGAACTAAATGTCCTCCAAAGGCCCAATCCAATATAAAAGAGAGTAAGGTCAGCATCTTCTCTGGGTTCTCTCCTATGACTCTTGTCTCTTTCTCCACAATGTTTCTCATTCCCATTCAACTCCCATATTCATTACCCACACTATAGTATTACCCACAAGAACAGATAATGCAGCATTGATCTCAGTCTGTGGCAGGATTTCAGAGAGCATGGGAGAGGGTTAGACACTGGTTACCTGCAGAGAAGATGCCATCTGCTCCACAAATAACAATGGCTTTTACTGTATGGTCTGTTAGAGCTTTCTGCAGACCCTCTTTTATTCCACGGAGAACAGTCTCACTAAAAGGGAAAAAAATTACATGAAGCATAAGTCAGAATCAAATTTCTACCATCTCAGAGTTTTTTTTCCTTTCTTAACAATGAAAAATTAAACATATACACAATGTATAAAAATCCTAGATACTTATCATTAAACTTTCACTAATTTAACAAATAATATATGTATTTACTGTAAATTAAGCACTGAGTTGATTAAACACATAAACTTTAGGAAAAAAAGTGTTTTCCTACATTTTGCTGTAACTTTGACCACTTAGAATCAGCACTATCAATTTAAAAATATTATATACATATCCTATGTACAGTGAGGGTTTACAACATCCTAGGGAGAACAAAATGTACACAACACAATATCACACTAAAATAAGTGCTGTAATAAAGGTACAAAGAAAGTGACGTGGAACTCCCGAGAGGAAAGAAAGTTTTGTTTTTAAAAATAAATTTATTATTTATTTATTTTTGGCTGTGTCGGATCTTTGTTGCTGAGTGTGGGCTTTCTCTAGTTGTTGTGAGCGGGGGTTACTCTTTGTTGTGGTGCACGGGGTTCTCATTGCAGTGGCTTCTCTTGTTGTGGAGCACAGGCTCTAGGCACTTGGGCTCCAGTAGTTGTGGCGCATGGGCTCAGTGGTTGTGGCTCACAGGCTCTAGAGAGCAGGCTCAGTAGTTGTGGCGCACGGGCTTAATTGCTCCGCAGCATGTGGGATCTTCCCAGACCAGGGATTGAACCCGTGTCCCCTGCATTGGCAGGCGGATTCTTAACCACTGCGTCACCAGGGAAGTCCCAAGAAAGTTTTTTCAATTTGTCATATTGGCATAATATAAGAAACTGAAATTGTCTAAAAATAACAGTCTAAGTGATGTGGCAGGGGCTGCAAGTTACCCCCAAATATCCCTCCATCCCAACATTCTTCGAAGTATTAAACATCTGGTTTTTAGCTGGATACATGGCTGCCCAAAATAAAGACTACATTTCCCAGCAGTAAGGTCAGCCCGAGGCATTAATTTCTGGCCAATGGGATGGAAACGGATTTGGTACATGCAACTTTTGGGAATAGTCCTCAAAGGATTGGGTATGCTTTTTGCTTTTTCTTTCCTTCCTACTTCTGGCAGGAATGCAGATATGATGGCTAGATTTGGAGCAGCCATTATGGATCAAGAGGTGGAAGCTGTTTATTGAGGATGGCGGAGCAAAAGATAGACAGAATTGGGATCACTGATGATTGTGGAGCAGCCATACCAGTCATTCCAGGACGCTGCTGTGAGAGACATCAACTTTTTCTTATTTAATCCATCATGATTTTGAGTTTTCTGTCACTAGCAGCCAAGCCTAATCCTAACTAATTTAGGCGGTAAAGGCAAGGTCTGGGAAAGAAAGGGCATGTAGTAGACTTTGCCAAATTTCAGTAGATGAGGGAGTCATCCACAGAGGAGATAGTTAAAGCCAAGATTGAATGAGTCTGCCAAAGAAAAAGAACAGAGAGCTGAGGGTAGATCTAGATGATCTAAGAGGTGGGAGAGGCTCAGCAGAGTGATTCAGTACCAAGGGAGCCCAAAGTCACAGAGACCAAGAGAGGAGAATTTGCCATGAAGCAGAGGATCAACAAGTGCCAAGGGATGATAAAGGAGGAGAACTGGGAAGAGTGGTGAGGAATTGCTTAAAGGAAAAACGATAGAACCAGAGTCCAATCAGTTTTGCCTTAGAGTTCTAAGTATTGGGGGAACATTTTATACAGAGTGAAAAAAAAATCTTAAACAACAACAAATGTCCATAAAGCCAGATTGTTCAGACCAGCAACTGAGTTAAAACCTCAGGGAATAAAGGAGATACTTGCCCTTGTTTATGGCAATTCCCTTTTTTCCACCATTTAACCCCGCTGAAATCAAACAAAACCTCTTGCCTTCAACTAGTTAATTAGAAACCAAATCTGCTAATGGAAAACTGATTCTGAACCATCCATACTACTGAGAAGTCCAAAAGGCACATATTTCCTTCTGGGTAAATGATGGCTGGAAAATGAGCCCAATCTGCGCCACTGAGGAGACAAGGCTGGCTTTTCCCATTTCAACCAACCCCTACTCTTTTATTTCTTATGTTCTTGCTAATTTTGCAAATATAAAACACAGGAAAAAAAGAAAAATGAAAATGGCTGTAGTAGATATAGCTTTACTAGATTCTAGTTGAGTGAAAAGGACAACAACTTCGCAGCAATGTCAAGGTCACAGGGGTTAAGAAATTATTTTCTCCCCTTAATATTGTCAGGCATGGAGAAATGGAGTCTAAAGGTAACATTTCATGAGTGATGACCAAAGATCTTTAGCTTCTGTCACTATAGGAAGCCTTTCTTGTGACAATTTTTTAAAGCCAGGGGGTCAGCGAATCAAGCCGTGGCTTGTGACCAGCATTCTTCAAACAAAGAAATAGAAAAGAAAATATAATATATCAAACAAAACAAACAAGTTTCACGAAACTTTGTTTTCAGTTATGTATTTGTATGTGTGTGTGTCTTAGGTTGCTATGTAAAACATGGATTCCTGTGTGGATTATAATTTTAAAAAGTGTGAAAGCCATTGTTCTGGGAGATGGGCCTAGTAATCAGACATGGCCTACACTTGTAAAGAGGGTTGGCATTCACCTGAATAGAAGGAAACCTGGCTGGCTAAAGGAAGCAAGGAAAGATTTGAACTATTTGGTTGGGCCCAAAAATATTCAAATAAGAATCTCTCACTTAGCTAGGAAGAAATAACTTCCCACATAAAATTAGAAATAGGAAGGGAGAAAGGAAGGAAGGGAAGAAGAAAAGTGTAAAGCAAAAAAAAAAAAATTGGGAACCTGTTAAACTTGATGAATGTGCTGGGACACACACCTCTACCTAAACATAAGTTCAGAAGAAGGTAGATGGGAAAGGGCAAGAAAGCATTTATTCCCAAGTGGAGAAAATCTTGATGCAGCTGCAATGAATCCTGAGCAGCGGGGCCTGCTGGTAGGGGCTTGTAACAGGCCTTCTGACTAATAGTACTAATGATAGCTAACATCTGCTAAGTGCCAGTTTATAATCTCTAACACATTTAAACCTCACAACAACTTAATGAGGTAGATACTAACATTTCTCCTGCAAGGGGGGCTAGGGGGCAGGTTAAATAACAGAAACATTTTAAGTAGTTATGGTAAAATATTCCTAGTTATAGGTAGTAGACTGTGGAACCTTTTTCCCCAAGTTCTAGATGGGCACAGTTTCCCATTATGAGCAGAGGTTAAGGCAGAGTCCTAATATTTAGTAATTCTAATAGGAATACAGTCAAGTTCAAAACTGATATGTAATCATATTACTCATGTTTTTCTTCATCAAAGCCAAAATAATAAATATTTTGCTTTTTTCTGAGAGTGGCAAGTAAGTGGACATTATCATCCTTGAATGATTTTATTTCTGATTTTTTATATTTTTAAATGCAAAATTTTATATTAAAATAATTATATTAGTGCTAATGATAAAATCAAATCTGATGATAGTAGGATGAAAATTCAGTTAAAATTAGTATGTCTTCTCATTACAGTCTCTTTTTGCTCCAGCATCATGTGATAAGGATTTTGACCAAAAGTCTTTCTCTTTATGCTTTATATGTTCTCCGTAAATTATCATTTCTTCTAATCCTACTCCCTGTGGATAGGTGACTCTTTCCTAGGCTGATGTATCACTATACTTTTTTCAGAGATATAAAAGAACCAAACCTATATAACGTCATTAACTTTCAAAAGAGCAGCATTAATCTCACTTTTAAAAAGTAATGCTTTTACAAGTTTAACAAGGAAGGTACTCCACAGTAGTTTTTCAGAAAACGCTATTTAATAGGCTTATTCTGATATGGGCTTAACCCAACATGGATCTTCCACGGAAGCACTAAGACCTTAAGGTTTAGAACAGACCAAGAGATATACCTTTGCATATCTGGGCCAGGACACAATCCTCTTTTACTCACTGTGTTGGCATTAAAGGGGATCTATATTTTTAACAGTGCGAAGCCACTTTATTGTTGGATTCCTAAAACTTTTAGTCACACATTATAAGGGTGGCCTGGACTCGAGATTGGGAAGCGAAGGATCAAGGTCCAGCCAGCATTGCACTAAGACCTTTGGAATAGAAAGTACGGCTGAGAAGTCAAAGTTGCAAGCAAGCAGAAGAGTCCAGCGCGAAGGGAGCACGGACAGACCCGATCCATCCCAGCTCCCCCGCTTCGTAGCCATCTGTCTGCCTCTCAGCCTCGGTTTCCTTACCAGTGAGAGAGTTCTCTGCAAACAGGAACTGAGCTAACCAATGTAAAAGGCCCTGGCATATGCCCAGGTTTAATCCGTTTCAGTGTCTCTCTCCGTTTAAACCAGCAGGGGAGAGTCAAAGCTTCCACTGCAGGCAGGCGGCTAAGACCTGCTCGCTGTCCCCGGGCTGAAGGCGGCCGAGCCCTTTACCTGAGCGCGTTGACAGGCGGGTTTCGTAGGCGGATCAGCGCCAGGCAGTTCTGCAGCCGCGTAAACTCAGCCATGTTTTCTCGGTCGCCGAGGCCGCCTCAGCTCATGGCCCCAGGGCGATATCACTTTCAGTGGGCGCTGGGCCGGCCCCGCGAGGAGGGGCACCTGCTGGGCCAATGTGAGCTCGGCATCGCCTCCCGCCCCCCGGGCCGCTCCAGGGCGCCGATGCCCATCATCCATCCCAGACCTCCTCCTTCCCCGGACCACAGCCCCGCGCTCTGCAGATCCTTGTCGTCTCCTCTTTGTTGGCTCTTGTCCTGCTCCCTGCACAAAGTAGATCAGGGAGGACGATGGAAAATGAGTGGAATTGCCAGCAAGTCGAGATTTGCAAATCGCTGGCCCAGAGGGGCTGGCTACTCTGGACAAGTCCTAGGTTCCCTAAGTTGGTGGAGCTGTGTCCTCATCACAGTTTTCATCTACACGATCCTTCTTAACAGGGACAGATATCTGGGATCCTCACAATTATGTGATGACACACACCTGGAACACATAAAATACACAAATCATTCATTTCACCTAAATGGGTACGGTACTAATATCAAATATTTACAGAACCGTCATACAGCGACCTAGTGAAACCTTCAACTTTCCTGTCTGCCCAATCCTTCCATTTCTTTCTTCTTCTGCCATTCCTAAAGATTGTGATTTCCAATACTTCAACCACCAATTGAGCACCTATTATGTGCTAGGCTGTAGGCAGGAGACTAAAGATAAATAAAGCCTTGTTCAGGCTGGGACAAAGTTTTTAAAGATGCAGTTGGCCTCAGGCGGTCTCCACAGTCCATCGGGGGCTAGAAGGCAGTCTGGAAGTTTCAGAGAAAAAAACAATGGAGCGGTTTTATTCACTAATGTTTCACCAATTTTAGCAAAGATTAAGGATTATTTTCATAGATTTTCTTTTACCTGTTGAAAATAAAACCAGGTTCCTACTCCTAGGAAAGTACCTATTGCCTTGAAGCCCTGAAAACAAGTAGCAGTCAGAACCCATCTAATCCGTCAAGGACAACCTATCAAGGACAGCCCCTCATTTTTTTTTTTTTTTTTTTTTGCTTCGTTGGGTTTTTTTTTCTTCACGTGGGCTTTCTCTAGTTGCGTCAAGTGGGGGCTACTCTTTGTTGCGGTGCACGGGCTTCTCACTGTGGTGGCTTCTCTTGTTGCAGAGCACGGGCTCTAGGCACTTGGGCTTCAGTAGTTGTGGCACATGGGCTCCAGTAGTTGTGGCACATGGGCTCAGTAGTTGTGGTTCGCGGGCTCTAGAGCGCAGGCTCAGTAGCAGAGTGTACGGGCTTAGTTGCTCTGCGGCATGTGGGATCTTCCCAGACCAGGGATCGAACCCGTGTACCCTGAATTGGCAGGTGGATTCTTTTTTTTTTTTTTTTTTTTTTTTTTTT